CGTGTTTGTTTTTTTTAAAAAAAATCTACCTTCTTTGTGCATATAAAAAGGCAAAGATTCAAAATTGAAATGCAGTGGCAAGGCAATCCATCCAGCTGCAAACTTGAAAAAAATAAGCTTGCAGCTGAATGGACTGATTGCCTTGCCACTGCAGTTCAAGTCTTAACTAGAGATCAAGCCTGCATTTCAGTTTCCAGCTTTTAGAGATATTTAATACTGCTCTGATTATTGAAATTACTGTGCAGTGCCATATTGTAGACTGAATGGAAACAGATGGATATAGACCAATCTCTGTATTCTGAATGTAAATCTATAGTAGCAGCAAGACTGTCGGATACAGCTCGGCAATGGAGAAAACAGCTGCTCCTGGGTGATGATCCTAAGTGGGTCCTAACTTCTTATGTCAATTAATCAAATCATATTTCTCTCCATTGCTGCACGTTTCAATCCATTTGAGTCTGTCCTTTAAAAAGACAGAAATGTTACAGTATATGGTAGGCCCCTCCTTACCACTCTCTGCTGCAGTGGAGGACCCTTGTTTGATCGTTCTGACTCCTGACTTGAAAGTGAAAGTGTTTTGGGGCAATCCAAATGACCCATTTCCTCCTCTTCTTTCATATTAACGTCGATATCATCATCTGTGAGGCTTCATCCTGTCTATCACAGTTCTTCTCTCTAGCAGAGTTCAGTTTTGTATTTAATGCTTCACTGCTGAAAGAGTAAGAATTACATACCCTGCAATATGCTAACTTTCATATTTGTAAAAAGAAAGCAATTTAGAAGTTGCACCTCTCTTTGCAGGTATGTGAAAAGGCAACATCTGACCAGGCCTACATCAAAGCATTTGCACAACATTCATGACTCTTCCTTTGCAACATAATCTTCCAGTTTTCTTCCCTGCCTTAGAAATCCACAATCCCCTCTTCCAACAAACACATATTTCTCTCATTCTAGGCAGCAGACCTCTGGGCAGAGACCGTGCCATTTCTAAATTTAATTATTTCACCATAAGGATTAATTTATGCTGATGCATCATTTAGTGTGATGCTGCAGTTGTCTTATTATGCCTTTGAATTGTTTTAATGACATTTTATATGGTTTTATTGGCTTGTTTTATTGCATCTTCTTTGGTACTAATTTTAATGAAAAGTAGGCTAAATTTGTTATAAATAAATACAAAAATAAAATATTTCTCGGGCCATTTTGTACCACTTGAGGCTTCCATTTCCTATGAGCCTCTTAAGCTATTTCTTTGAACTCATGAAAATTACTATTTGCTAATGTATCAGAGAGGTATTTGTATCTGTTAGCTTGTTTAATTCCCCTTTCTCTGATGCCTGTTTTGGAAAGGAAGACTGAGGGGAGCAGTTTTGATTGCACAGACGATCTTTATAGAGTCAACTGCTCATTGTCCCAGTATAGCATCAAATCTAAGATCAAACGCATGGTCTCAGTGAGCTTTCTGAGCATCCCCCCCACCCCGCCAAGGTCGCCTGATACAGCAGGAGAAGGGAGAAGGTCTAGAGTGATCTCTGATTTTTGAATGACCTCATGTTACCGATGACTGATCCTTGTTTCCAAACAGATTTTTCCCCCCTTTAGATCAAAGCGATCTTAATGGGGAAAACCATGTTTGCTCATTTACATGTCATCACTATTTGTATTTGCTGGATAAGAGAAGTCTAATCCATGTGAGCTAGAAACAACTATAAACTGTTCAGTTTCCACTACTTTATTCATTTTAAGTCCATTATATGGCATACGTCAGGTGGCTAGGAGCCATGTGTAAAATGTCCCATAATGCTCTAGAAATTGTGGAATTAAAATGGCAGTAATGTAGAAAGGGGCACCCAGGAAAGCCCTTTTGTTGACAAACTTCAACAATCTCCTTCATACCTTATGCACACTGTCATTTAAAATACTTTTCCCCAACCAATCCTTCCTTTCTTCCTTCCTTCCTTCCTTCCTTCCTTCCTTCCTTCCTTCCTTCCTTCCTTCCTTCCTTCCTTCCTTTCTTCCTTCGAGATCACACAACTCCATGATAATTCTGGGTGTCATCAATAAATATAATACGGAATTATAGAAAAGCAGAAATGATGGTAAGAACATATGATTCAAAGGGTAGGAACATTAACAAGAAGGTCCAAAAACAGAGAAAACCTGCTTCCTGGGTCACATTTATTTGATCAATGAAACATACCAACTTTGTCTAATCAAACAGGCAGAAAGATATCAGAGATAGATAGCCTGGCCTTATACCACAAAGGGCTTTTTAAGTGGTAATCAACACTCTGAATTGCACCTGGAAGCTAACTGGTAGCTAGTACAGCTCATAGAGCAGGGGTATGCCCATTACTGCTTGTGCCACTGCATTCTGGACCAACTGAAGTTTCTGGATGGTCTTGAAGGACAGCCCCATGGGGTGATTAGGACATAAGTGACTGGAGGCTTTCCCAGTACAGGAACAAGTTCAGCTAGCACACAAGATGAACTTGCATGAAGGCCTTCCTAGCCATAACTGCAAATTGTGCTCAAGCTGTAGTTGCAACTCTGGGAAAACTCCAAGACCTCACCAATCTCAAATGGAGAAGTGCTAACCCATCCAGGACCCAAGACAGACATTTTCCCATTAGGTTAGGTTTGCTGAGTTGAGAGAAAAGTGCCTGCAATGAAGGAATGTGAGGAAAGTAAAGTAGCTGAAAGTAAAGTAATAAAGTATTTAAAAAGCAAAGCAAAGCTTTAAATTAATTTAAAGAAGTGAGTGATGGATAAGGAAGAATAGCATTCCACTTGCAACAATCTATTCCAGTTCAGGAGGTGAAACAGGGTTTCTGCATTTTATTTCCTCAGCAATAATTATAATTGTATTTGAGAAAATAGTATCGGAACAGTAGCTAATTATAAATGGAATATGCACTAACAATGTAATATGGTTTCAAAAACAAGAAATACAATTTGAGACTGAAGAGATTAGGAATGTGTAGCCTTTAAAAGACAAGACTGGGAGAGGTTATCAAAGCACTCCTTAAATATCAAGCGTTGTTCTCTATCATCCCAGAGTACTGACTGGAAAATAATGATCTTACGTTACTGCAAGACTAATTCTAATTGAATGATAAATACTTCTGAACATTAGGAGCAGTTTAATATGTAATTAGATGTCATCAGAGAGAGTGGTGGATTCATTTTCACTGAATGTAAGAATCTAGACCATCCTTGTCATGCGTGCTTTAATTTGGATTCTTACATGAAGCAAGGGTTGGATACTTTCAGTCTAAGTCATCTTTCCCAATGTTATATTACAGCCTAGAATGGTATCCAGAAGGTTGATCCTCCTTTTATACACATAGTTTCCATCTTCCTAGAATCACTCTCTAAGTAGAGTGGAGAATTTTTTTCCTACACCAAATGGAGGAAATGGAGGCTGCAGTTACTAATATTGAAGGGAATGCAATAAATAGTATTTTGTCATGAGTTCATTCAGCCACAGTACTTGTTCTGATAACTGTACTGTTTTTGAATTCAGGTGTGAGACCCTATATTTTATGCCAAGAGGAAGTGCAGGTCCTCATGAGAAAATCTGACAGCGCAAAGGAAGTCAAAGGGAAGGAAATGGGATTGGTTGGGCTTCATTGCTGGAGATTTCACAGAGTAGCAGCCTGGAGGTCTGAAAATTGTCTGACTGTCAGAATCGGCTCTGATGGATCAAATCAGGAGATACTTTTTCATTTCATTCATAAACCCAGAATCCCTCCCTTTTGATGTGTTCTTTACCAAATTGTTAAGGCAGATCCATCAGAGGGATCTTACAACAATGGCAGGAAAATTCACAAGTTTGGTTTTAGACCGCAAACATGGTTTTTAGAGCAGCCCATTAAAATCTCTTTTATCTTTTATATGATTTAATTGTGCTGATTTGTTTGATGTTTCCTTTGGAATGACTGTTCACTGGTGGACGCTTTGTTCAAAAGCCACTAACACCACAAACTAAGATGATGAAAAGGGGAAATACTTTTAGTTTTCCCAGCTGTTTCCTTGCTGAGTTTTAGCCTGTGCACACAATGTTTTTATTTTGGTAAGAAAGCAAGATAAATTAATTCTCGATTGCCCAAGAACTCTGGCATTTCTTTCTCCATCAATCTCATCAAACCTCATTCCATGCAAAGGGCTTTTGCAAACTACTGTGAAATAGTCTTGATTGCCAGAGTTAATCAGAGCCAAGATAAATTTAAAACTGCGTTTACGTAATTGTGTTTGTATGAATGTGTCCAAGAGAAGGAAAGAAATATTTGCCTCCAGATATATAGTTCAGCTTTAGACTTAATTATGTTTGGGCAGAAGGATGCTCTTTGGATAGAAACATGCTTTGCATCACTTCACATGCGCTTTCCAAGTCATTCTGAAGAATGAAGCTAAAATATTGCCCTGATAGTTCCACTATTTCATCTGTCTTAAAGATGGAACTATTTATTGAAATTATGTATCTTCAATCATTTTTACTATGAATCAGTGTGATACAGCCAATTTCCCACTGGAGACTGAGGAGGAGATTCAAGTGGCAACTCCTATTCTGTTACAAAGCTGTCCTTGGGCTGGTTACCCTTCCTTATATTAATGTACCATAAAGCAGCTCAGAGGGGGTAATGGAGCCCCCTTGGGAAATGACCAGGATTCACACCCACCATTTGGGATTGTTCCATCCCAAGATAAATAAATAAATAAATAAATAAATAAATAAATAGATGCAATGTTTTATTTATACCCTTATATTTTGACATATTGGGACCAATATAGGACAATGAAGAAAAAGAAGACAATGTTGTCATTAAGATATTTAAAGGGCAAAAAAGTGAATTGGTCCAAGGAGCATGGGAAGATTGGTGCTCCTAGTCTTCTAATTCCTCTGATTCCAGCAGAAAGATTTTGATCAGTGTTCTAGTTTCTATTTGTTTTCAGGGCATGCTTACATCTGTCCTCACGTTTGTTTTTCTTATTTACAGGGAACATTGAATATAGTTGTCCAGCTACCAATGAGTGTGAAATCACAAAACGGAGGCGCAAGTCCTGTCAGGCCTGTCGTTTTATGAAATGCCTCAAAGTGGGGATGCTGAAAGAAGGTAAGGTGGGCTGCAGTGTGCTTTCTGTCTGAATATAAAAGCAAAACAAAATAAGAAGAATGGCTGAAAAATGAACAATTCCATTAATCTGATCTCACCGTCTCTTGCCTCAGAATGTGGAGGATCCTATAGAAGGTCTTTAGGTAATGGAATAGTTAGGGAGATTTTTAAAAAAGTCAAGATTGAGCAGCACTATTGAAACAGTATTGTGGTTTGCAGGATTTCAGTCATAGCCACCATCTTGATTTTCTTTTTACTCACCCCAACATTAAATGATATTTGGCCAGGGGAGTGTGTGTATGTAGGCCATCAGCAGATATGTGTTGATGGTGTTCTGGCTTACCATCATCATATATTGTCCCTTCTTTTAATCTGACATGCTGTTTGCATTTATATTTTGGTTATTTAAGTTACATTTTTGTAAACCACCATGAGTAAAATAAATAAATAAATACTATATAGAAACCCACCACAGACAACTCATTTTCTTGGTTTTGCTGTACGAAGATGGAGGGGGGAAAAAAAACTTTTTTCCTACAGATTCTGTTTCTCTGATGAGCAGGCAAAGATCTCATTTGTGAAACAGCCTTCACTTGCCCATTTATTATTAGGGCAATTCCTTTATTAAATCCTCCACAGAATACAGCATGCAAGCTATTGAGTCCTCAGGGCTTCTTCATCTGCAGCAGCAGGTGTGAAAGAGGAAAACAGGTTAAAAGATGGATGACGTTAGAGTGATTGAGTCTCTGTATTGTTACTTTCGAGATGCAATGAGTGAAGAGGTAGCAGCCATTCAAATTAGGCTGTGCTAGATATGGTGAAAGTTTCAGATTGCATCTAGGACTGCCCTGAAGAATACTAAGATGAAAAACATAATTAGGACATCCCTTTTAAAAAAAAAAAGGGGGGGGGAAGGGGAAGTTAGATTCTGCTTGCCATATGTATCTGTCTTCATTCTTATTTGACGTAAATGGGTACTTGGACAGAAAGGGGAAAAAGATCAGAATGAAACTAGACCATTTTTGTATTTTAAAAGCTGGAGATTTGTCTCTTCTCACAAAACTGTTCCTCTACGATTCAGAAATACAGTACTTGAAATATAGCTTGATGGTGTTGGTTATTTCAATCTCCCCACATAAGACAGACAGTAAAAAACTGCAGGAAATTTTGGAAAGTGGAGCTATTGGTATTCTTAGGTGTTATTATTTATTTTAAAAAAATAGATCCAGGCAGTTGATCATCAGTGGAAATCAACATTTTTCATACTTGATAACACATCCAACTCTCAGCACAGCCCTCCAGTCCCACCCATGTATCATCTATATAATATTGTTGGCTTACTGAGGAATAATTTTTGACATCCCCAAAGAGAAAATACAGGAGATAAGGTTTGTCATTGGCAAATAGGGTCAATGGAAGCTGATATTTCAGGTAAAATGGAAAAAGTAAGGTTCCAAAGGGACACTTCAAGACTATGAAAGGCTACCCTTGTGATGTAGATACTGGGGCTTGGAGAGCAATGCATAAAGTGAATAAGAGACAGAGGCAGGAAGGGACAGAGTGAACAATCAATAGGTTTCTCAGATATCGTGGCTGTTTTCTTTAAGAGAGCCCTAATCAATGCACTATAACTAAAAGGATGTATGAGCATAGAACCATCTCAATTGCTTCCATTTTTACACTGCAGAGTAGAGACTCACTGAGACATCTAAAATTTTAAGTGGAAAACTACCTATTTAAATTCTGAGATATAAGTCCAGAGCACATGTATTCAGTATGTTGGTTTTGTAACCTACAATTAATCATCCTTCTCACACAAAAAAAAATAGTTAATATTCCTTCAGGGGCTTTAAATCTGTAGAGATGGTCCAAAGTGGCATAAAGTATTTTTTGCTGAACATACAGTTTTGCTCTCAGAAATCACCCTGGAGGGGAAAAAAATTGGTTCCAGATTTTGGCCAGGAGAATTTGACCTTGAAGCATGCTTGAAATAGGGAAAACATATTGGAAGACACTAGATATTTACAAATTCTGCTATTATTTTAATAAAACCAGGAGACACACTAATGGATAACTGAGATCAAATGTCATGTATGCATATTTCTTTTTTTCAGTTCATATTTCTGTATTATGCTGAGGCCATTCTTTTGTGATCTTGAACTTCTAAAGTACTGATGAAGAAAAATGCTACTCTGAATATTTCCTCGGTGAGAGAGAGAGTTGCTAGAAAACTTTGAATACCTTAAATAGTTTTGAACAGTTAGCAGGCACTGGGAATGCAATGGTCTCTTGGCAGCTTATACTGAACAATGCAGCCAAATCCTATAATCTGGGAAAGCCTTTCTTTGAAAAAGGCTGGATATAACCTATTTGCAAGGCCCTATGGGAAATTTAATGAAAATGAAGCAGAAGTAGAGAAGAAGGAATTATTATACCAGGAAGTCTTAAAGAATGTTTCCCTCTCCAATCCATCTCTTAGTGCTCTTTGGTGGACCGCTTAGTCTTAAGGCGAACTCTTTAACTTGCAATTCTTACTAAAGAAGCATGTCCTTAATTTTCCAAAATCTCCATATATATATATATATATATGTAATGCTCATATTTTTTTCATTTGATTCAAAGATGCTCAAGTTCAATAGCATGCTAAGATTCAGTAAAACCTATTAGATAGGATACAACACAATCAATCTAATTAATATACTCTTGATAGTTCTGTCTCACGAATAGCGGTCAGTTGCTGTAGCCAGTAATTTGCTGCCAAAGATATTTCTGTTAACAGAACACAGATTATGAGAGCAATATGAGTTTGAGTGTTGAGGATTTTCACCATTTTGATCTATAGAAATCTTTCCCAATTTTGTGCTTTCTAAATACGTTGCAGAACAATCTCCTTCATCCTGCCATCCATAAAGACAAGGAGATCTAAAGGATACTACAAGACACATCTCTGTATGTGGAAAAAGTTTCATTGAGATCCTACTTGCTCTCTAATAACTGAATGAAAACCAGAACTCTGATTTTGCTGACTGATGCTCCAGAATTGGAAATAAATACACAGTAGGTTGGCTGCATTCTGAACAAAAATTCAGCTAAAAATGGTTTGAGCTGAGCCTTGACTTTAAAGCTGTTCTTTTTGCAAAGACCTTGCACTATTCCATATATTGTCCTGTTGCCTTCAACACTAACTTACAGGCCAAATTTTATCAAGGAATGCTTTCCCATTGATAGCATTTCCATTGCAGAAAAATGCTTCAGCTGCTAAATCTCTGCTGTCATGCAGTTTCAAAGGCAGAGGGAAGATCAAGGCCAGAGAAACCAAGACAGATATTATGTTGTTGAATAGGGTACTGCAACCACCAGAAATCCAAAGTCACTTCTGCTATAGCCACTGCTTGTAATCAAGACACTTGGTTAAAAAATAAATTTTTGTTTGGTAACAATTACTATACCCCGCCCCCTTATTTTCTCCCTAAGTCCCTTTCAGTGGCACACTGCCATTCTAGAATACTGTCTGTCTGTCAAATGTCCCTGCTGAGTTTCCTCCCCCCCCCTTTGATTTCCATGTGTTTTCTGAAGGATATTTGATTTCAGTGAAAGCTCTGCTGATATCCAGGCAGTATGTTTGTGCTTTCTCTTTGTGCTTCCTGGGAAGGATGAAGACTCCTCCGGGGATTCTGGGTAATTGGGTTAGTGGCCAGCTCATGTCAGGAAATTAAAAGGCAGCCCTGATCAGGTTGCTGCTGCCTCAGGTTTAATGGCTTTGTATTTATAGAGCATTCTGCTTCAACCCTGTGCCAGAAATACCATTTTTCTACACAGTTAGATGAATGAAGCAAATGATGTAAAGTTTTCTCAGTGAACAGCACACATGTTAAGGAAGATTTTTTTTTTTTTTAGGGTCCATAGGGTAAAGAACTTAGCTATTTTAAGAACAACTTTTACTGTAGTATAAAATAGTTGATCCCACCTATCTGAGCTTAAATTATAAATTAACATGTAGGAAACCTTGTCAATATATACATATGCACATACTAGGGCAGAAATGCATAGGTTTAGGATGAAGATTTCTCTAGGAATCATAGGTTAAGATACCTCTTTTATCGTAAGAGCGCAATTGAGAAAAATGCTGTCCTGGAAATTCAACGTGACACCTAATATTAGGTCTGAAGTTTGTTTTCCATTGTATAGGATATTTCTTGGACATTTTAATTGTATTTTAGTATTGGGGGTGGGTGAGGTGGGAATGTAACTGCTTGTTCTGTCTCTCCACATCTGGCTGTTTTCACTTGTAACAAACTGGGTTTTTAGCCAATATTTTGGAAAGAAAAGAAAATGGTGTAATTGTTTTACATCCATTAAGAAAAAGGGGGAAAATACCTCTCTCCAAAAATCGCTGTTTTCAGATCAGTGAGGGAACATCTGATCTCAAACTTGTTGGGCAGATGTCACCTGGCTCGGCCACACTGAATTGCCACTTGAATGGATCCTCAGAACAGCTCCTTTTACTGCAGAGGATTTATATGGGCGCAGATGTTTTTGAAGGACCTCTGTAACATAAGTGGCACCAACAGGATGGTTAGAAAATTGTCAGTCTTATTTGAGGCATGAGGTAATGGCATATTGCAGGCAGAATTTTTTTATTCCTGGATTCTTTGCTGGCACTTTATTCAGAAACTAAACTAAACTAAAACAAAGCAGAAAGTGAAAGTGTAGGAAGGAGAAGAATTTCTGAAAATATCAGCAAGCAGGCTGGGAAATTATATGATTTTTTTTTAAAAAGGCTGCCTTGGTACTAATTTAAAAGGCAAGAAACTATTTGTTCTTTTGGGTAAATAAATATTTTTTTTTCTCTACACTTACCAAGAGCTTTGAAAAACAGTCAAACGCAGGATATGAGTTCACTGACTTTGTACTGCTTCATGCTTCAGTATTCATATATATAGTCCATTTGTATACAAGATAAGATGCATTCACCACCACATGCCCAAGGGTAGCATTTA